GGAATGCCGCCCAGTGCTAAAGGAAGTTAGAAGCATCAGTGTTGCAGACTCAGTTCACACCACTCCTGTGGTGCACTTGTCTGATGTGTCTGTAGGGGGAGCTCCTGAGGCCAGCAGCTCGTGTGGTAGTTAGGGCTGGACTCCCACAGGCCAACTCTGGTTCAAATCCTGGACCTGGTGGCTTGAAAATCATGTCAAACGTGTGCATGTGTGCCCCAAGTCCCAGGAGAACGGAGAAGGGATCGAAGAGTGGGCCATCCCCTCGGGAAAGTGATGTCTCACTTTCCCCCTCTCTGTCTCTCTGCGGGGAGCTCATGTGCCCTGTGGCCAAAACTTAAAAAAAAATAAAATAAAAAGAGGTCCTTGGATTACAAAAAATAAAATGATCTTAATAGATTTAGTCCAAGGAAAGAATTTTAGTAGTTTTAATAATTAAGGGAATTTGTTGAAAAGGTGCTTGTCAATATCCTTGACAGGGTGTGAACACCCCCAAGATGAACCTGTAGAGGCTGGAGCAGTAAACGAATTATTCAGTATAGAGACTGACAGAGGATCCATAAGGCAGCGTAATGACACCGTGAGAAGAAATGGTCTTTCTGGATCTAAGATCAAAAGTGTCCTGTCCCAAGTGAGCTTAGGGGCTGGTGGCCATGCCTGGATTTGTGGCCTTTCAGCAGAAGCCAGTCAGGTCTCACCCTTACATGAGACAGGCACGTGAGGGCTTAGGCACTGATTCACACCCGCCCTGGCAACTGCTCCTGGGCTCCTGGGCTCCACTGCCAGGGCCAGTGGCTGCAGCAGGAGGATGGGCGCCCGTGCATGTGTAAGGGGGAGGCCAGGCCGCCCACCCCCCGCCTGCGGGTGTGTGTTGGGTGCAGGTATGGGGCAGGTCATGGCTGGCAGGCTTCGGGTTCCCTCCAGAGGCCCACTTAATTGAAGAGTTAAGCATCTTCCAGATACAATCCCAGAGAAAGGAATTGAGTCCGAGTATGGAGGTCTGCGGTCTGCCCAGGGAGGGTGGTTTACATCACAGAAAGGCTCCCCGGGGCTGACTTGGATGGGAATTAGGACACAGTGAGGGGCCGAACCTGGACAGGGGTGTGGGACTAGGGGTGTGCACCGCAGCCTCCCCCTTGCCAGGTTCCCTGGTGCGCCCCCACGGAGGGCTCTTGCGCCTAGGCCCTAGGCAGCTCGGAGCTGCTCACCGGGCGGAACCAGAGCGCGCTTCATGGGGAGGGTATGGTGTGCACAGCTGTGCCCGCAGCATGGCCCTCCTGCCCTCGCTGGCAGCTTTCCCACTCCCTCCCCAGCCCAGAGCAGGGAAAGCGCCTTCCTTCACTGAGCAGAAAGAGGCTCGAGGCTCGTGTCCACAGCTGAGGGCTGCAGGGGAGAGTGAGAGACGTTTTCTCTGCTAAAAGGGAAAGTTAGCTGGTCGTCAAAACCGGGTTTCCCAAGACGACCGGAGATGGCAGATCAGAATGACCCGAGCGGCAGCCAGAGCATTCCCAGCAGTTGTGTTTTCGATCTCGAGTTGTCAATAGTCGATTGTTGGATCGGTGGGAAGCAGGGAGGTTCTCTCCCTCCTGCCGTCGCCACGCTGTGGTCGGGAGCCCACAGCCTGCCCGCTGAACCAGCCCGAACAGCTGTGGTGTTGGGAGACTGACCTTTCGCCTGGATTCCCAGCGCTCGGACCGGGTCACGTTTTATAGCCGTCAGTAGCCCAAAATAGAGTGAAGAGGCTTCTGGAGGGAGACCTTTCCTCAGCCCAGCCATTTCTCTCACACTTCGTATTGGACTAATCCTGACACTTGGGGCTTCTGGTCTTTTCCACTCGTGACTGTCGCAGACTCCGGCATGCTCACACGGAACTCAGGGAGTTATTCCTAGCCAGTCGGTGCGGAAGACCCCACCCAGGGGTGTCCGCAGGTGAGAATCGAAGCGGCCGGCACACTCGGGGAGGGGGAGCAGCTGCGTGGCCGTGCGCGGTTCTCTGGCCAGGGGACTGGTGCTTTCCAGCACAGCCTGGGGCGTGAGAGGACCCAGGAAGACTACGAACCCTTGTGGAATGCAGAAAATTCAGCTTTGCAAAGAGCCATTCTGCACATGGACTCGTCCTCCCACCTCTGCTTCCTAGTCACCATTCTTTCCATCCGTTTTTTCTTTTTTATTTGACATCAGTCTTTTAAAGATACTTTGGGAACGGTAGGAATGAATCAGAAATGGCCTTTGCCCTTACAAAGCTTACAGCCAGAAAAGGAACCCAGAGTGGAAGGAATTGCACAGGCCGCCTGGCCCTGTCACTTAACCAGTGCGTGCATCCTCTTTTATTTAAAGTTTTTGCTACAGGGTGCATGCATTCACTGGAGGGAGGCAGAGAAAGGGAAAGGGAGAACTACCCCCCAGGGGAGATGGCCATGGTAGAGTCCCACCTCCATTCCCCTCTCAGGATTCTGGGCACACATGCACACACGCCTGGTGTGATTTTCAGGCTGCCAGCTCTGGGACTCGAACCACAGTCAACCACAGAGTGCAGTACCTCAACCACCACACCACCCACTGCCCCTCAGTACTTAAAACGGGACTTTTTAAAAGTTGATTTGTGTCAACTTTAACATAAAAATATAACTGTCTGTGAACCACTCCTGTTGTCTGACCACTGAGGTTTTGTTGATGTGTAAGTGGAGGGTACATTGCAACTGTAGGTGCCCTTCAGGCCTAAGAAGATCCGCAGCCGGTGTTGGCACACGCCACTGTCATTGCGCACGGTCTCAAGATGGGTGGGGTGAGGGACAAAGCCTGGGACCAGCCCAGCCATTGAAATGCTCTTCTCTACGTTCACTTGGTCCCAGCTGGTCATCCGTGACTCCCACCAGATGGTCCTGGGTTTGCATCCCCACTCTTTGGGAGTCACGTGGAACAAACCTGGGCCTCTTCTGTGCCCTGGGGCTTAAACGCGTAAAGATCTCACGGTCTTCAGAAGCCTAAGCCACTGACCCCATGGCTGCATCTTTTCCTCAGGTGACAATTTTGAGTCCTTTCTCCTGTTAACAGGAATTAGAAGTGAAATGGTCCTATAAGATTTTTACAACGGTTGTAAAGCTGCTCTTTATAGGCGTTCTAGGTCATGTGTTTGCGATTCTTACCCAAGAGTCAAAAGGTCAGTTCTGTACCAGATGTACTGAGATGTTTGCTTTTATTTAACAATATCCAGTCTTTCTGTTAGTATGTAATTCATCTATGAGTGGCAGACACTTAAAGTAATAGTGGTTTGAACAATAGAAGCTGGAAGGTTGGCAGCCCAGGGCCGATTCTGCTCTTTGGTGCAATTAGTGGACCCAGATTTCAATCTTAATGTCCAGCCCAGAAAAACCTTCAGCTCCAAAGTTACCTCATGGCCCAAGATAGCTGCTCTGATGCCAGCCATCACACTGCCTTCCAGCCTGCTGTGGGATGGACCAAGAAAATGATGAGCAAAGGGAATGAATGCTCCTGCCATCTTTTAAGGTCGCAAAAGCTGCTGCAAGACACCCTGTTTATACCTCATTGGCCAGAATTCAGTCACATGACTGCCCCTAGCCACATCTTTACTCTGGACAGCCATGTGCCTAGCCAAAAAAGGAGGCTTCTGTTCATTTGGAAGAAGAGGCCAGCCCCCTTTGCTCAGCTGCCGCCAAGGTGCTCGGTTCTTGCAAGGAAGCTAAGGCCGCGTTGGGGCGAGGCCCTCACTTCATTCGGTGACTAGCACCACGTCCAGCAGCGCCCGCTCCACACCTGTCCTCACCATGGCCTCCGTTTCCGAGCTCGCCTGCATCTACTCGGCCTTCATCCTGCACGAGGAGGAGGTGACCGTCACGGAGGATAAGACCAGTGCCCTCGTTAAAGCAGCTGGTGTAGACGTGGAACCTTTCTGGCCTGGCTTGTTTGCGAAGGCCCTGGCCAGTGTGGACATCGGGAACCTCGTCTGAATGCAGGGGCAGGTGGACCTGCACCAGCAGCTGGTGCTGCGCCTGCAGGAGGTCCAGCCCCACAGCTGCCGCCCCAGCTGACCAGAAGAAAGGAGAATCTGCAGACTCGGATGGTGACGTGGGCTTTGGTCTTTTTGACTCAGTCTGTTTTGTAATGTGTTCAATAAAAAGCTGAACTCTTAAAAAGGAGGAGGAGGAGGAGGAGGAAGAAGAGGCCAAGCTGTGGGACGGAGACGTGGCTGTGGAGCCTGGCATCCTCCGTGCTCCGTCAGAAGCGTCCTCGTGTTACAGAAGCAGCTGTGGTCACGTGAGGCCCAGCCTGCGCCCGGCTCGTAGCAGTCCTCTGCCGTCGCGTGTCCCCTGCAGTCATGCCAGCGACACTGAGATGATTCTGCTGCGTCTGCGTGCCTCTCGTTCTCCCGCTCCGCTCTTGCCTGAAAGGTTTCGGTGCAAGCGTACCTTTGACGGTAAAGTTGACACTCGTTTTTGGCCGCATTGGTTCATCAGGAAAGTCAGGAGATGCGTCATGACTTCGTCTGAGTGCAGGGGCGGGGGGCCGTGCACCAGCAGCTGGTGCTGCGCCTGCAGGAGGTCCAGCCCCACAGCTGCCGCCCCAGCTGACCAGAAGAAAGGAGAATCTGCAGACTCGGATGGTGACGTGGGCTTTGGTCTTTTTGACTCAGTCTGTTTTGTAATGTGTTCAATAAAAAGCTGAACTCTTAAAAAGGAGGAGGAGGAGGAGGAGGAAGAAGAGGCCAAGCTGTGGGACGGAGACGTGGCTGTGGAGCCTGGCATCCTCCGTGCTCCGTCAGAAGCGTCCTCGTGTTACAGAAGCAGCTGTGGTCACGTGAGGCCCAGCCTGCGCCCGGCTCGTAGCAGTCCTCTGCCGTCGCGTGTCCCCTGCAGTCATGCCAGCGACACTGAGATGATTCTGCTGCGTCTGCGTGCCTCTCGTTCTCCCGCTCCGCTCTTGCCTGAAAGGTTTCGGTGCAAGCGTACCTTTGACGGTAAAGTTGACACTCGTTTTTGGCCGCATTGGTTCATCAGGAAAGTCAGGAGATGCGTCATGACTTTCCCGGCGACCTCATAGGCTATACGTAAGTGAGACGAAATGAGAGTAAGTCCGTCGACTGACACGCGTCGGTTGTCAGGCGCTGCGATTCTGCTCTGTCCCACTACGGTAAGGAAGAAGTTACCCAGTAAACCGATCGCCCACCCTCTGAGAGACGGCAGAGTGGACGCGCATCTCAGAGTTGGTGAAATGAGGCCCCGGGCCCGGGCCCGCTTCCACTTCCTCTCAGGAAGCACGGAGTAAGGTTTGCGTGTGTCAGATGGTTCCCGACCGCGGGGGCTCGCTCGGCCTGTGCCCCCTGAGCTCCCTTACGGTGCATCTTCGTTTTATTTATTTCAGGTTTTTGCCATAGGGCTTGTGCACTTGCCAGAGAAAGAGAAAGTGAGAAATCAGCCCCGGGGTGGGGGGGGGGGGGGGCCACGCCCCAATCCCTTCTCCTCCATTCTCCTCTTGGGACTTGGAGCTTGTGCCGGGATGACTTTCAAGCTACCATGTGTGGGGCTCAAACCGCTCGGTCAGCCATGTGGGAGCCCAGCACCTTAACCACCACGCCACCTGCCATTGCTAATTTTATTTAGTTATTTTCACTGTGGTGTACGAATTAGAACAAATGACCCAATCTGGGAATTCAGTTCGGAGTAAACGTCAGGTATTGACAAACCGAGGTGGCTCCTTCCAAGTGGAGGGTCATGTGAAGTCTCCCATGCTTTGAAGTACGCACTCGACGGAGAGGGCTCAGAGAAAACTGCAGAGAATCCTCTGCTGCTCCCCCATCGTACCCTGCTCACTGTGTTCACTCTGCAGGGACGGGTCCGTGCACGGTTCTGAAGGCCTGCACCCCATCTTCTCCTTTCAGGAAATGAACGGGGTGCTCAAGAGCATGCTCTCAGAGTGGTTCTCCTCGGGGTTCCTGAACCTGGAGCGGGTGACCTGGCATTCGCCATGCGAGGTGCTGCAGAAAGTCAGCGAGTGAGTATTGCAGCTCAGACTGCCCAGGGTCCAGCCGCAGGTGCATTTCACTTTGAGGCTGAAGAAATCCGACCACAGCGTTCCCAAATGCTGCAGCTGTTACTGTGCATGATCCCGGGATTGGTAGAGATGCAGGCGAACCTGGGTTGAAACTGATGTCTGTCGGTCACCTGGGGTCCTCATAGTGAAAGCAAACAGGCCATGTACAGCTTTGGAGGGCCACATTGTCGGGGTGTAGCAACTGGCTGAACCAGGTCTGTGCACAGCGATCCAAACCCACCTCTAGTTCTGGGCTCCTCCCTGGGGTGAAATCAAATGAACTGCCCCTGCAGGGTAGCAGCACATCCAGACACGGCCCCGGCAGCCTGTTGTGGTGCCTCACCACATTCTGTGTCCTCCCGGGAAATCCAAGCCTGGAAGACGGTCTGCAGTTGGATGTGTAACAAAGGCACAAGGCCAGGCCGTCTCCCTGACGACCCAGTGGCATTGGGCAGGGTGGCCGACAGAAGGGAGCTAAGAGGTGGGCATGGTGGCGCTGAGCTGTGGTCCAAAGGACAGGCAGACATGGGGTGCTCAGCGGGCCCTGGGTAGGGTTGGTGACAGCCTTCTGCACATGTGCATCCCAAGAGCTGTCGCACTGCACCTCACACAGCAAGAAGAGCCGAGCTCAGTCCCGTGTGTAGTTGCCACTAGTGAGAGCCCCCCACCCAGAACCATCCCCATCAAAACGACTGCCTTAGAACTTTCTGGGCGGGTCCTGGGCATCGCGCTCGCGTCTCCCCGTGGGTGACCGTCCGCCTTGGGCTTGCGTCTCCCCGTGGGTGACCGTCTGCCTTGCTCCGACTCCCATAGGTCAGAGGCCGTGCACCCCGTGAAGAGCTGGATGGACATGAAGCGCCGCGTCGGGCCCTACAGGAGGTGCTACTTCTTTTCTCACTGCTCCACCCCTGGGGAGCCGCTGGTCGTCCTGCACGTGGCTCTGACCGGCGACATCCCCAGCAGCATCCAGGTACCCGTGGTGTGGGGCGTGCCAGGTGTCCCACGACGGCCCTGATTTCGTCTCTCATTTGGTTTTTGCCTTCTTGGCCACCTCCACTGGCAAGGCCTGGTGTGCGGAAGTTCAGCACACAGGATGGGCGGGCGCCTGGCGGGCACGGGATGCCCATCGGGGACTGTTGTTGTGAGGCAGGGACAGCCGTGAGGGAAGGAGAGCGGGAGAGCGAGGCTCAGCTTCCTAGCACTTCCTAAGGGAGTTTAAAAACGTAAGTGGTTGTGATCAGCCTGTCGCCCGGCGGTCATGTGAGCCGCCTCCCATGTGGTCTCCTGCACAGTTCAAGTTCCTGACTGGGGTGGGCAGCCGAGAAACGTGCCAGGCACGTGTGCATACATGCCCAAAATCCCAGAAGGAGGAAGAGATGGAGGAGGAGGGGGTCGCAGCATGGCCATGCCCCATGGAGGGCTTTTTCACTCCCCGCCTTCCCTCTCTGTCTCACCCCAGTGAGCACGTGTGCCCCCACTGGCAAATTAAAAAAAGAGATACATGTTGGAAAATTGACATCCCCTCACCATGCGGCTAATGGGGGCTCAGAGCCCTGCCGTGTGGGGTCATGGGATATGTGTTAGGGGCTTCCTGCGGCAGGCCAATCTGAGGGGTTTGGAGGAGGCTGGCACACGGGCAGGAGAACCGGGGACCATGCTGCAGGGTCTGGGAATGAGAGCAGGTGCCGATGGGGCAGAGGCAGGGAGCCAGGGTGCTCAGCCCAGGGGAGACCAAACAGATGGCAGCGCCTACAGATGGGCCCCCAGGCAGAGCTTCCTAGGGACACCTTGTGTGGAGTAGGGCGGCTGAGTGTGCTCCGGGGCAGCTGGGGACAGCTCCGGGGACGCCTTCCATGTGAGAGAGTCAGCACCTCGCCTGGTTGGTGAGACGTTATTGCAGCCTCTCTCAGGGCGGTGTGGTGGGAGCGATTAAAATAGAGTGTGCATTCCTCTGTACTAAAGGCTCCACTCAGGGACTTCTGCTGGGGGGTGTCCAAGAGTACAGGCGGCCACCTCAGCGTCCGTCAGTGCCCAGGGACAAGAGGGACAGGGGTACACAGCCAGCCTACACCCTGAGTCTTGGCAAATGCCTCCCATGTGTGCAGAATATGCACTTGGCACAGGAGAGCATGTGTGTGCACATTTGTGTGTAAAGGCGTGTGTGACAGCAGGAGGCAGAGAGCGGGCACGGAGTTCCTCAGGAGGCCAGCAGCAAGCATGGGAGAGATTCCAGAATCACTTGTCTTTTTTTTCCCCTCTTTCTAATGTCAAAGAGGCAAAAAAATAAACATTCTTGTCTGTTTTGAAAACTTTAAAAAAGGTCATTGGAATTTTTAAATAAGGAACCACAGATAACCTGCAGACTTGTTCACACACAGGAGATGGTTCAGAGGCGAAGACCAAGAGCAACACGAAGGGAGCTGGGTTCTGTGCACGCGGAGCTCTGCAGAGGGCAAGCCCAGGGGAGGCTGAGTGTGGCTCGGGGATCCCCCCCGCCACCCCATGGCTGCCCCGGCTTCCTTATTGCAGCAGCCCTTACCTTTCCAGGGTCCCAGACCCAGTTGGGAATGTAGCTAAGGCCATTTCCCCAGAGGGGTTGTACACAGACTCACTCCCTGCACAAGCTTGTGGGCCCCCGGCCTACCCCACAGTTCTGGGCTGACACCCCACTTCAAGAATCAGATGCAGCTGGTAGGAGTTAGAGTGGTTTAAATGTGTTCAGAAATGAGCTTAGCACCTGCTTCAGAGCAAGCTGAAAGGTGACCATCTGCTTACAAAAGACCAAAAGGGAGGTAAGTCGCTAGTCACTGAGCTCCTGTGAGGATCTCGGAGTAGCAGAGAGGGTACAGAGCCATGCAGCTGAGCCAGGGCGGTTGTGAAGCCTTCGCCTCCACAGTGTCCCATACAGCCAGGCAGCACGTAGGCTTCTCAGCCATCCTGAGTGGAGGGGGAGTCCTGGCCTTTCACTTTGGAATCGTTTCCTGGGTGGGAGGGTTGGCCACGCTTAGCGCCCACCTGCCGTGTGTTTTCCAGGCGATAGTGAAGGAGGCCCCGCCCTCAGAGACAGAGGAGAAGACCCAGATCGCCGCGGCCATCTTCTACTCCATCAGTCTGACACAGCAAGGGCTGCAGGGCGTGGAGCTGGGGACCTTCCTCATAAAGCGGGTTGTCAAGGAGCTGCAGGTGAGCCTGGCAAGGGCGGCCGTGCCTGGCAGCCCAGGCCCTGGCCTGCGGAAACATGGTCAGCCCCCAGGACCCAGTCTCTGCAGGCACCCAGAGGAAGCCATGAGCTAAAGGGGAGGAGGGGGACGCAGGAAGTGCAGGTGCCCCTTGGCGGGTCCGGAAGCCAGGAGACTGCTAGGGTGGTGGAGATGTGTGGAGAGAAAGCGCCGACCTCCAGTTCCTTTGTCTCCAAGGTGCAGGTGTGTCCGAGGTCCGAGGCCATCGGCTCTGCCCAGGGCAGCCTTGGCCGGTCACCTCCACACTCTGGCCTAAGTGTCAGGAGTGCTCCAGTCCCTTCTGAGTGATGAAGTCGACAGCCATGGTAGTCCTCTCTCTCCAGGGCCTCTGGCCCCCACGTTTTCTCAACATGGCCTGTTGCTGTGGGGGAGCGTGGAAGTCGGGCTGGCAGCGTGATGGGAAACGCACGGGCTTGTCTTACACCCAGCTCCTCTTTCTGCCCTGCAAAATCACTGGCATCCTCTTATCAGAAATGCTTGGGCTCAGCTGGACCAGGGTTATTAGAACAGTCTCCTTGCTCCCTCTCCTCATGGACCACCATGAGTGGAGTCTCATTATTGGGTAAAATGAGGTCGGTGACCAGCTCAGCCCGCTGCTCCCTGCTTCAGGTGGCCTCCGTGCCGGCAGCTGCCAGCAGAGCTCTTCTGTGAGGGTGACGGCGCCGAATTAAAACATTTACACACTTCCCATTAAGGTCAGGATCAATTTGAAATAAGCGAACTTAATATCCAGCTGGCTATCGGCTTTCTTGCTGCCACGCTTCTACCAGAGGGAGGGGGGGGAGCCACTCTGATTAACCTTCTTCCTCCCTTTTTCTTTGAACGGGCCGGACCGGGAGGGGGAACGTGTGAGGGCAGGCCAGGCAGGACCAGGAGGCTTCCCCCACAGATCCTGCTCCTGAGTCTGGGTTGGCACCTTAGCCCAGGAGTCCCCGTGAGGGTACTGCTCAGCCACCCCCGGGCCATGAGCCAGAGTTACCACAGAGAATCTCGAAGGCTAGCCCCTTCACCTTTCTGCCATAAAGTGTTTGTCAGGGTTCATAAAAGTAAAACCCTGGGGACCTGCAGATGACATAAAGGTTACATTGCTAAACTTGCACGTAGTCGACCATGGTTCAAGGCCTGAACTCGGAGGCTTGAGACTCATGCCAGGTGCATGTGTGCCCAGAACCCCAAGAGGAGAGTGGAGGAGGAGGGATTGTGGCATAGCCATCCCCCCTGGGGTGATTTCTTGCTTTCTGTCTCTTTGTCTCTCTGGCAAGCACATCCACTCTATAGCAAAAATCTCTTAAAATAAAATAAAATGGGAACCAGCAGATGGCATATTGGTTATATTGCTGGACTCCCACATGGCTGACCACAGTTCGACTCTTGGACCTGGCAGGTTAAAACTCATGCCAGAAATCCCGAGAGGAGAGTGGAGGAGAAGGACTGCAGCATGGCTATCCCCCCTGGAGGGTTTCTAACTTTCTATATCTCTGTCTCTCTGTCTCTGGTGAGCACACACATCCTGTAGCAAAAACCTCTCTTACAGAAAATAAAGGCAAAACCTTGAGAGCCACCTAAATAATGCCCAGTGAGAGAGCGTGGGCAGGAGAATCACGTCGAGTCTTGTATTCTAGCGGTGCGCTGTCATCTGAACCATAGTCGTCGGGAAAGTCATGACCTTTCAGACTACCCAGTGTAGCTTTGAATTTTAAACGACTGTGAGAAAATACTCGCGGTACCGATTCATAAAGCAGCGTGCACAGTAAGCGTCTCACCCCGAAAACACGAGACAATGACCAGGAGTCAGGCTTTATCCCACTACTGAGAGCAGTTTGCTGTGAGGGGCGGAGCGTGGTTTTTTCTTTTCTTCTGCCGTAAAAACTGTAAAGCGTTCCCTAGTGAGTGCATTGCATTTATCATCAGAAAACGCCAGGGTTTTTGACCAGTCTTGGAGAGCACCATAATTTGAGTGACACTGGCTGAACGGTTTCATACAATGTTGAGAAATGCCTTTGGGACCAGCAGATGGCATAATGGCTGGACTCCCACGTAGTTGACCACGGTTCGAGTCCCGTGTGCGTGCGCGCCCAAGATCCTGAGAGGAGAATGGAGGAGAAGGGATTGTGGCATGGCCATCCCCCCTGGGGGGTGATTTCTTGCTTTCTGTCTCTGTTTTTCTGGTGAGCACACATGCCCCATAGTAAAAAAAAACTGCCCTGTCGCATCCCCTTCTCTCCCTGCCTGTGCCCCCTTGGTATAGCCAGGTCATTGCCGCTCACTCACCATCTCCGGGTGCTTGTCTGCCAGGCATCCACCAGGCCACAGAGGGGTGTGGCAAGGTGGGGGGACCGAGCCCCACTGCGGTGGCCGGCTCCCTGGTTTCAGTCGTGGCCTGATGCACTGGCCTTCTTGTGTGAGGGTGATGGTGCAGTTGGAGCCAGCACCCTGACAGCTTGCCTTTGGGGCGGAGAGGCCTCTGGGGCCTGGTACACGTCTGCCCCAATGAGGTTCCAGGAAAGAGAACGTAGCAGGATCGAATAGTGCTTAGTCAGCCCGTGTCCACTCCCAGGTGTAGCCCAGGGCGTTCTGTGCCGCAGCAGACCTGCTGACTCTGTTTTCTGCCTTCCTTCCCCACTCCAACGTGCCTGACAGAGAGAGTTTCCTCACCTCGGGGCGTTCTCAAGTCTGTCGCCCATCCCTGGGTTCACCAAGTGGCTTCTGGGGCTCCTGAACTCGCAAGCCAAGGAGCGCGGGCGGAGTGAACTGTTCACGGACTCGGAGTGTAAAGAAATCTCTGAGGTCACTGGAGGTCCCGTCAACGAAACACTCAAGGCCTTTCTCAGCAGCAACGAGTGGGTGTCCTCGGAGAGGCTGGTCAGGGCGCTGCAGGCCCCGCTGATGAGGCTCTGCGCCTGGTACCTGTACGGGGAGAAGCACCGCGGCTACGCCCTGAACCCCGTGGCCAACTTCCACCTGCAGAACGGCGCCGTGCTGTGGCGAATCAACTGGATGGCCGACACCAGCTCCCGGGGCCTCGCGGGCTCCTGCGGCCTGATGGTCAACTACCGCTACTACCTGGAGGAGACGGGCCCCAACAGCACCGCCTACCTGGGCTCCAAGCACATCAAAGCTTCCGAGCAGGTCCTCAGCCTGGTGGCCCAGTTTCAGAAAAACAGCAAACTCTAGAATCTGAACCCTCCTAGAGCACACGACCAGCCTCGAAAGGAAAGCCCTCCGGACAGGCCATGGTTATGTGCCAGGCAGAGCCTGCCGCGTAAGCCGGAGTTGGCCTGTGCCCTCTTGCCCACAGCAGGGTGACATGTGAGGCCGTGCCCTCACTCATCACAGGGAAAGTGGGGTGCAGGTGCACATGGAGGAGGTACAGTTCCTGTGCTCTCCAGAAGATTCCGCCCTCGCCTTCGGCCAGCTCTCTCCGAGGACCAGAGCTTTGGCTCCCTGTTGTCGGGAAGCACACGGCCCTGCCAGCTGGCGCCCCGGGGTGGAAAGTCGGCCTCCCAGGACCGGGCGAGCGGCCTGGATGGTAGCCAGTCCTTCGAGCTCACAGAATGGAACTGGACAGTGGTGGCTCCAGCTGCTTCTCCACGCAGCACAGAGGGGTCAAGGGCTCTGCCCCTCTTACCTGTCCGTTCGCAAGCTCATGAATGTACGAAGAGGTTTGTGACTTTGCACTAAACACATGAGATGTCACTGCTTGAGGCCTATGCTGGTGTGTAAGCTAAACTTTCGGTGATTCAGGTTCATAATAGTAAAGAACAAGTTTGTTCTGTACGGCATTAAATACACAGTTACTTACTGGTATTCATCTTTGAGATCAGAGACCCGACAAGGCTGGGGGCAGTGCTGACCCGGCAGCGGGACCCCCAGCCTCCCGCCGGCCTGCCGGGCTATCTAGAAGGAGCAGAGAAGAGGGAAGAGGCTGTCACCACAGCTGTGGGAGGAAGGAGGGCATGTGTGTTTGTACGTCTCTGCGTATGCATAATCGTGTAACCGGTTCCCACCACTCGGCTTGGGCAGGCGGGTCTCTGTGCCTTCCTTTCCATCTTCCTGACCTTTCCATCTTCCTCTGTTGTCGTCTGCAGGTGACTTGTTGCCTCGTGGCCAGTGGTGTGATGGTCATTCAAGCATTCGCGTGCTCTGGACCAGGCAGGAGTGGTCTCCCCTCCGCCTTGCTTCGGGCTCATCTGAGCACCAGGAGCCCAGAGATGCTTGTCGTCAGCAGTCCCGCAGCCAGGCAGGCTCCTGCTGGGCCGGAACCCTTCAGGGCAGGTGTCCCTAGACCCTCCCACGTGCAGACACCTCCCCCAGCTTCCTGTCTTCTTTCTCAGCCTTTGACCTGGGTCTCTAGGATGAGCAGCAGCCTCGTCTCCACAATGCTGTGGGCAGGCCATGCACTCTGGGGTCCCCGAGGCCAGAGTCTCACCCGCTGGCCTTGCCCAGCAGTGTCCCTTCCCCTGCCCTATCCAGCTTTACCCTAAGAGTGAGGGAGTGAGGATGGGTCCCACCCCACAGCCTTGCTGAGAGGGGGGACAGGTCATCGCCGAGGAGGGCCCTGGCACACCAGACAAAGCGGGAGCACCTGGTGGGGGCAGAGTGAGGACTCGGACCCAGGACTGACCAGTGCCCGCTCTCTCTCCTCTCCCCTGATCTGCCTCCCAACCAGACAGACAGACGGAACAGCCTGAGTCAGGCCCAGAGGAGAGCCCAGGGGCAACAGGACAGGCGGGGTGCTCACCGAGAGTGACGGGGGGGGGTGTCAGAAAGGCAGCCTACCTGGGCCGCGATAACCGGGACAAGGACTTTAGGACACGGACGTCGAGGCAGGCAGGAGGGGGTCCTTGCAGGGACTGTCCGCCCGAACCCCCAGCTCTTCTGCCTGACCTCGTGCAGTAAGCAGCATACCGTCTGGTCTGTCTGCAGGTCCTGATCCTTCCCCTCGTCGGCAAGCAGACTTACTCTGAAACGCAGACAGGCTCCTCTCCCTCCTTGCCTGGCTTTCTCAGTCATACTCCCCAGCCCTCCCTCCACCTTGCCTCCGAGCCTGCAGCCTGGCCTCCCCCTCTGCTGTTCCAGGAGCCCCCCGGGCACCCTCTGTCCAGTCAAGTGTCCCCTTCCCTGACTAGCCTGCCCCGTAGTCATGCTCCCCCCTCGGCTACTCCCCTCACGTGACTGCTCCTTCCCCGTGTGTGTGTGTGTGTGTGTGTGTGTGTGTGTGTCTTCGACTAGGCGCCCCCTGAGAGCAGGGCCCTAGGGTTTTCCCCACCCCCAGTCTCCCAACGCTGCCTGGCTGGGACACAAAGTTTGAAGGATACTGTGAAGTCACCCCAGCACCTCTGATCCCGTGTGAGAATGCTGGGGCGAATGGTCCTGCCCTCCCTGTGGCTGTGGGGTGGTCTCAAGGTGAGGCGGGTCTGAAGTCTGACACTGGATCTGCCAGGGCTTCACAGCCCGGTGCGCCCTGGCCACTAGATGGCAGCCGGGGCCTCTCCTGAACTCCAGAGCTTAATCCCAGTTCCTGGAGGGGCTCAGAGCCTGCGGGCCACTGTGTCCTCTGGGGCTAAGTGCCAGGGCTCAGCTGCCACTCTCCTACTTCCCAAAGGCCCCGCACCCCGCTTCGCAGCCCCTCAACTCCTCTGTGAGTGTGAGTGCAGTGGGTCAGGGGTAGGTCAGGGGTGCATCTCAACTCGGGCTGAGGATGTGACTGTGGTTCAGGCAGAAAGCCCAGGTCACACGTCCAAACCCTGCAAAACTTAGGGGCCACGGTTTCCGAATGGCGATCATTGGCCAGGCACCGTGACAGTTTTCCTATCGGTACAATAAATAGAAATTCAGTATTTGAAAGTGGAAAATAATATGGTAAACACAAAATAGTTATTGAATGTTAGTCACAGCCAGCCAGCGGCCTCGTGCTTAAGGGAGTGGATCTCATACGGCCACCAGTGGTTCAAATCCTGGCCCCAGCAGCTTGAAAAACAGACCAGCGTGCGTACCCACATGCCCCGAATCCCAGCAGGGTGGAGAAATGAAGAGATTGCAGTGAGTACACCCCACTGTGGGATGCTTTTCCCCGCCCCTGACTCTCTGACTCTGGCAAGTGCACATCCCCTCTGGCAAATACATAAGTAAATACTAATTTTAGTTAGATTTCATTGTACTCTCCCCACCTAAAAAAGGCAGGGCAGTGGAGACCAGCAGTTGGCATAATGGCTGTGTCGCTGGACTCCCATGTAGTTGACCACAGTTCGCGTCCTGGACCCGGTGGCTTGAATATCCACCAGGCACATGTGCGTGCGTGCCCAGATCCCGAGAGGAGAATGGAGGAGAAGGGATTGCAGCATGGCCATGCCCCTTGGGAGGTGATTTCTCACTTTCTGTCTCTCTGTCTCTCTGTCTCTCTGTCTTACTGGCGAGCACACCCTCCCTATAGCAGAAACCTTTCCAAAATAAAAGGTAGGGTGGTTAGCACATGCTTTGAGTGTTACCAATGCACTAAGTATCAAGCGGACCTTCAGAGTACCCAGGAAGCCCCCAGAAGCCTTGAGAGAGCACGGACTGGAAAAAGATGGAATGAGATCACTGCTTTGTCCGATACCCATGGGTTACTGCAGGCCCTGCCCTCAAGGTGAGGCGGGTCTGAAGTCTGACGCTGGATCTGCCAGGGCTTCACAGCCCTGTGCGCCCCGGCCACTAGATGGCAGCCGGGGCCTCTCCACAACTCCAGAGCTTAATCCCAGTTCCTGGAGGGGCTCAGAGTCTGCAGGCCACTGTGTCCTCTGGGGCTAAATGCCAGGGCTCAGCTGCCACTCTCCTACTTCCCAAAGTCCTGTCTCCATACGGGCATCGAGCTTTGCCCTTGGCCTCCGAGTGGCGTCTAGCTGTGCCCTGTGAGCCCGCTAGGTGTTGGAAGCAGGAGGCTGCATGCAGCAAACTCAGGGAAGCAGCGCCGGACAGGGGCGCCTCCCTGGGCGGCAGGAGGGGCAGCCCCAGTGTGGCCAGGCCACCACCCGGGGCCATGAGGCCAGGGCCCAGCCAGGTCTGCAGGCCTCCCCGAGCATGGCGAGTCCTCCCCTGAGCTCTCACACAAGGCCGCACTGTCACTGCCGTGGCTGTGCGGAGAGCACCCCGCTCACGGGGTGGTGCTCCGAACGTCAGCGTCAGCCCTCGGGACACCCGGCTTGCTCCCAAGCCCTGGGCTGGGGCGCACTGCGAGAGCTGGCCGGCACTCGATCTCTGCAGTCAGACTCTACATCTGTGCTACCACAGGGCTTGGAGACGGCACCGACAGCTCTGACCCTGGGCTCCTGTCCACACTTCTGAACAGCCTCGTGGCTGAGAGTC